AATACTTAATTTGTTTTGTATTATTTATTAAGAGAGGATTTGATTGTAAAATTACTTTAATAAAGTGTGGGTCGTGTTGAAGTCTCGGAAAGCTCAATATTGTGTAAGGATTGATGTTCCTTGTTGTAAGTCACCGTGTGGGTCATATTGAAATCCCGTAAAACTCAATAGTGTGGGTCGTGTTGAGGTGTCGGAAAGCTGAACGTTGTAAAAGATCGGTGTCCTTATTTGTAAGTCACCAAAAGTTTTGTAGAAAGTTGGATTGCACCATAAGTCAATCAATATAGTGAAAAATGCCTTGCTTGTTTGGAGAGCTTGGTAACGGGGACGTAGATCATTGCATTGGATTGAACCTCCACAACATATCGTTTGGCTTCCATTCCTGTTGACTTATAGTTTTTACATTTGTTTATTACTCAAATCCTTATATTGTTCTTTGCTTGTTATCGTATTTGTGGCTATTTGATTAATTGATTCATTTACTTTTGTATTGATTTAAATCTAGAATTAATTTTCGAAAAAGTTTATATAACCAATTCACCCCTCCCCCCTCCCCCCTCTTAGTTAGCTATCCTTGGGTTTTCACTATGGACTTCATAGAGAGAGATTTGCTTTTTATTTTTTCTTGTGTGATCCTAGCTAGTACACTAAAGATTATAGTATTGGTTATTTCTTGGTGCCCACTCACGTTTAGGCCTTGCCTTGAGAGTGTACAAGTGGTGCGACCACACATGGTCCCGTAATTATAGTGGTACCAATTGATATAATCGGTTATATTTATATTTTTGTTATGTTAAAGAATTTATTTTAGAAGAGAATTTTTCCTTTGTTGTCAACTTAAATTGCATAATATTTAGGGGGGAAAAACACGGAGAATTGTTAAAATAATATCGACCTCATTTTTAATTTGACATATTATTGAGAAACAAAAGTTAATTAATTTAACTTCTTTTCCAATTAATGGCTTACTCTTGGAAAAGTTTCTATTAGTTCAACAAAGATTATTTCTCCTATAAGCAAAAAATTGGAGTTCATTTAAGAAAAGTCGCCCATTAATTCACCCACTATATTTTTTTTTCCCTTTACGTATATTTCTTAATTAAAAAAGAGAGTGACACTTCCAAATTTTTCACAGGGCATTCAAAATTTAGGGTTGGCTTTGCTCGCCTGTACAGTTAATATTTTGAAGATTATTGATTGATGTTAGGTGATTCAAGAAGATAATTCGGTGCACTCCTTATAGAGCTTTGCGTTATAATAGGCTTTTAATTGAAACTCATCAATTTCATTCAAGTAAAGTAATCTCTTTTCACTAGCTGCCTTCAAATTAAAGTTTCAAGTCCCTAACTGCCCAGTAAGCTTGGTGTCCCAACTCAATTGGTAAATAGCACGCTTTTCCAAAAGTTAAACAATAACGAGACATTCCTATAGATGTTTTGAGAGCTGTTCTATAAGCCCACAAGCATCGTCAAGTTTCTTAAACCAATCATTTCTCGAATAACTCGCAGTTACATCAAATATCCATTTTAATTCTTGATTGGAAATTTCAACTTGTCCGCTGGTA